CTGGGATCAAGCTCTGCATCGGGCTCTTTGCTCGGCGGGGAGACTGCTTCCCTTCCTCTCTCTCTGCCTGCTGCTCTGCCTACTTGTGATCTCTGTCTGTCAAATAAATAAAATCTTTAAATTTTAAAAAAAGAAAAAAAAAAAAAAAAGAATCTGCCTTCTGGGGGGCGCCTGGGTGGCTCAGTGGGTTAAGCCGCTGCCTTCAGCTCAGGTCGTATTCCTGTCCTGGGATCAAGTTCCGCATCGGGCTCTCTGCTTTGGCAGGGAGCCTGCTTCCCCCTCTCTCTCTCTGCCTGTCTCTCTGCCTACTAGTGCTCTCTGTCTGTCAAATAAAATAAAATAAAATAAAATAAAATAAAGAATCTGCCTTCTGCTCAGGTCCTGATCACAGGATCCTGGGACTTAGCCCAGGCATAGGGAAATCCCTGCTCAGCAGGAGTCTGCCTCTCCCTTACTCTCTCTCATAAAAAGAAATAAAATCGGGGCACCTGAGTGGCTCAGCTGGTTAAGCAACTGCCTTTGGCTCAGGTCATGATCCTGGAATCAAGTCCACATCAGCCTCCCTCCTTGGCAGGGAGTCGGCTTCTCCCTCTGACCTCTCACCTCTCATGCTCTCTCTCTCTCTCAAATAAATAAATAAAATCCTTAAAAATTAATTAATTAATTAAATCTTTTTAAAAATTATGTTCCTGGGGTGCCTGGGTGGCTCAGCCTTTAAGCATCTGCCTGCAGCTCAGGTCATGATCCGGGGGTCCTGGGATCAAGCCCTGCCTCGGGCTCCCTGCTCAGCGGGAGGCCTGCTTCTCCCCTCCCACTCCCCCTGCTTGTATTCTCTCTCTGTGTCTCTCTCTGTCAAATAAATAAATAAAATCTTTAAAAAAAAATTATGTTGGGATGCCTGGGTGGCTCAGTTGGTTAAGCAGCTGCCTTCGGCTCAGGTCATGATCCTAGCGTCCTGGGATCGAGTCCCACATCGGGCTCCTTGCTCTGCGGGGAGCCTGCTTCTCCCTCTGCCTCTGCCTGCCATTCTGTCTGCCTGTGCTCGCTCTCTCTCCCTCTCTCTCTGACAAATAAATAAAATCTTTAAAAAAAAAAAAATTATGTTCACAACTGCAAAAATTGGCTGGCTCAGTCAGTAGAGCATGTGACTCTTAATTCTGGGGTCATTCAGTTGGAGCCCCATGTTGGGTATAAATAAGAATTATGTTCACAATTAAGCAAAAAATATTCAAGCATTTGAATTTAACAAAATACATAGAAATTCAAATTCCTTAAGAAATTTTAGCCATTCAGGGCATGTGGGTGGCTCAGTTAAGAGTCTGCCTTCGGCTCAGGTCATGATCTCGGGGTACTGGGATCAAGACCCGTGTTGGGCTCCCTGCTTAGCAGAAAGTCAGCTTCTACCTCTCCCTCTGCTGCTCCCCCTACTTGTGCTCTTTCTCCCTCTCTCAAAATATAATATATCATCTCGAAAATGAACAAAATCTTAAAAAAAAAAAAAAAAAAGACAGAAAGAAGGAAAGAAATTTTAGCCAGGTTTTAAAAGCTAAATGCCAGGGCACCTGAGTGGCTCAGTGGGTTAAGCCTTTGCCTTCGGCTCGGGTCATGATCTCGGGGTCCTGGGATCAAGCTCCACATAGGGCTCTCTGCTCAGCGGGGAGCCTGCTTCCCCCCTCTCTCTGCCTGCCTCTCTGCCTACTTGTGATCTCTCTCTCTGTCACATAAATAAATAAAATCTTTTTAAAAATAAATAAATAAATAAAAGCTAAATGCCGGGGCACCTGAGTGGCTCAGTGGGTTAAAGCCTCTGCCTTCAGCTCGGGTCCTGGGATCGAGCCCCACATCGGGCTCTCTGCTCAGCGGGGAGCCCGCTTCCCTTCCTCTCTCTCTGCCTGGCTCTTGCCTACTTGTGATACCTGTCTGTCAAATAAATAAATAAAATCTTAAAATAAAATAAAATTTAAAAAAAAATTAAGTAGAAAATAATACCTCAGCATAAGGCTAAGCACCACCTTCCTATATCCACAGAGATATCCTTGGCTTTGTGTATAGAATTTTGCTATTCAAAGTGTAGTTCAATAATATTGATATCACCTGGGAATCAGAAATGCAGATACTGAGGCCGCACCCTAAAACTACTAGATCATAATTAGCATGTTATCAAGACCCTCCCCCCAGAGGCAATTTATATGCACATTCAAGTTTGAGAAGCACCAACAGAGAATACTTTAAGGGTGCACTGTATGTAGCAGTACCGAACAGACATATAAAGAGATGAAGTACCTGTTCAGTTTCTGTAGATTGTATTTTATTAGGTACTGATCAGACAGACCTCCAGCGTTTTTTAATCAATTTGGTATTTACTAACAACCACATGATCTAAATGTGGGATCCATTTCACTTTCTGAAATAACACACCTTAGCTCTAGGGCTTTCAAACACATAAAATATAAAACAGCTTAGTTGTTCTGAAAATATAATAATGGTTAATTTTATGCAACTTCCAACACTGAGTTCAGAGCACTTCTCCACAAGCCCCATTAATTCCTACAGGTTCCTGGGAGTATCATTAAACCCCCCCAGCATCCCTAAGAAGCAGGTGCTTGGCAAACATCCAACCTCCAAATGAGATGCAGAAGGATGTAGTCCTGAAAATGCAGTACTTTCCTGCCTCATCCCGCCAGTGTAGCTTCTCAGGCCCAAACTCTCTCCCCCACTGAGGCCTCATACAGCTGCACACTCAAGTACTTCCCAAAAGGGAGAAAGGTCAGAGGTATCATTATCCCATAAGCACTTGGGATTCCAGCTGTGGAGAAATTAATCCAGTTAGGGGTTCAGGCAGAGAAGCCCTGAGTAAGATCCGGAAAGGCAGAGAGAAATACAAAAGAAAGAACCTACTGAGAGGCTTTTAAAAGACAAGAAGTCCCAGATATTTGGAGACTTTCAGGTGGGGATTGGGAGCAAGGCTTGGCAGGCATGTGAGAAAATGATGGGGAGAGATAAGTATCCATCCCCCACCTGCACCTCAGGGACAAGAACAAAAAGAGTGACAAAGAGATTCCTCCAAATGACCACTTTTCTTGATAAAAGGAAGGAAAAAAGCCAATGTAGGGAGGAAGCTTATGAGTTGGAAGCAAGACTGGAAGAATTCCTTCAGAATTTTTTCCCAATATAGGGGGGAAAAGCAAAAGAGAACAGTACACATCTAATCAGAATCTTATAGGAAGCAAACCACCTGGAGGATTAAGAGTCCTGTGAATAACCAAAGAAATACAAGGGGATTCCTTTCCAGTTTAAATTCAGTGCTAGAGGGTTAGGCAGTCCAGGGACTTGAGGCCACCTCCAGCTCAAGGAATAAGTAGAAAAGGGAAAATCTCTACAGACACAGTAAGCAGAGCAGTGTCCAAAGGGAGTTAGAAACCAGAAAAATGGATAGGGCAAGCTAAGATATAACAGTTTCTGTTAGTAGAAAGCAGAAAGATAAAAGATAAAGCAGACATATGAAAGACAACAAGCAAGCACCCTTTTGGAGGGGGAATCTTTTCTTTGGGGGAGGGGAATTCAGGAGGTGTGACTATAGGAAGTGTGCTCAGAAAAAAGGCCGCAGAAGCAGAGAAAGTGCTGTGCTGAAGAAAGATATGCGTTCACCAGAGGAAGGAAGAGGAAATGGGTGCCCTGACCAAGCAGGGAGAGCACCTAAAAGGGAAATGGGGTTCCAAAGAGGAAAGGAAACTGCAGAATGAAAATATCTTGGATAGAAAAGCTAAAAAGGATAGGAGGCATGCTCAAGAACCAAGGATCATGGCCCCAGAATGAGAGGAGAGGGCTTAGAAAAAAATGTGTGTCCTCCCGATTTAAGAAGTATCAGGAAGGTGGCTGCACCCTAAGAACTGTGCATCCAAAGGCATGGATTTGGTATATTTTGGAGACATAGGAAATAAATACACTCTCAGATATGAAAATGAGTCTCCCCAGGAAATAAAATAGTTCAATTTGAGGAGCTCATGAAAATGGGTGCAACCCCAAGAATACAGTGACTGAAAAAAGCAGTGAATTCCTTTATTTGTGCAACCGCAAATATCTATCTTTAAACTTCAGGATTTGGACCACATTTTCAGGAGACTCTGGAAATGAGGCGCACCCCCAGATTTCAAGGGGTGGGGAAACGAAGTAGCCCATAAATTTAAGAAATTTTGTAAACCATGTTTCAAGATCTGGGGCCTGGAGAATAGGATTCTTTCTGGGATTTGTGGCAATAGAAGCACCCACAAAACTTTGGTTACTGGACCCCAGATTTGAGAGTCAATGAGGCCAACCCCAAAATTTGAAAGGAGTGCGTGTTCATACTGGCGGCTAGGAAAAGGGAGTGTCCTCCCAGTTTGGGGGGGTACCTGAGAAATGGGGTACATCCTCAGTTTGAGGGGCTTTGGAAATTAAGATAAAACCCAGGGCTGGAGTTTAAGAAAGGGATGCACCATCTCTAAACTATGGAGAGAAAGGGGACACTCCCATAGTCAGGGGCTTGAGAAAGAGGTGTGCTCCCCAGAATAGGCTAAAAGAGTCAATAAAAGAAAACGCGTTCCCAAAGCACAAGGTAACTGCAGCCGCTGGTGGTGGAGCTCCTGGGGACCACACAGCTCAACCTCTAGCCCTAGCGCTTACCCCCCACCCCCAACACGGCCCTCTCCGCGCCCCGAACCCGCACCCCGCGGCCCAGCCCCCTCGGGCGGCGCTCATTGGCCGCGGCCGCCGTCATTCCCTCCGGCAGCCCTGAGGATTGGGCGCCGCTCGCACGCCCGCCACGCTCTCAGCAGCGGTCCCCGGGCCTCCCTCCGGGCTGGGCGAGCGGGGCCGGGCGGGGAGCGAGGCCGGGCAGCGGACCGGAGCAGCGGTGGCGGCCGTCACCGCTCCCGCTAGCACAGCGCGCGCACGGCGAGGACCAGGCCCAACGCGGCTCCGGCCAGCCGGCTTCTCCTCGCCGCGCCTCGCCGCGAGCTCACCTCACAGCCCCGCTCCGGCTGCGCCGCTCCAGGACCAACCGACAGAAGGACTCTGCGTGCTGCGCACCACGTGACCCGCGGGACGCGCCCAGCGTATCCCCCGCCCCCCACACACACGCACCATCGCCACCACAGAGTGACGCAGCGCCCCAGCTGCCCCGCCCTCGGCCCCGCCCCGACTGATCCCCGTGGAGACGGCTCCCGTGGGCCACGCCCACTGCCCTGACGCGCGGGAACCAGGCCGGCGCCCTGATCCAGAGCACGAAGTCCCCACTCACCCATAACCACTGAGGTAACACGAAGCCTGGGACTGGGCACTAACCGTCACCTGCTAATTTTGACTCCTAAGTACATCTCGAAGCCTCCCACTTTTCTCCATCCCACTGCCGACACTCCAGTCTAGGCCACCTCTCTCTTAAATGATGGTGATGCTCTCCATCCCATTACCCCTTTCCCCTTCTGATCCATTCTTCACACACCAACAATGGAACCTTTTCAAAACTCAAGTATAATCACAGCCAAACCCTGCTCAAAACCCATTGCCCACTGTTCTTCGGGTTGAAAGTTTCATCTCCACTGTAGCCTATCAACCAGGTTCTTCAAAGTCTGAACCTAACCTGATTTTCTCACATTCTCACATATCCTGCTTTCCCACGTTCTCGAACTCTTTCAAGTGCTCAAACCAGGTTCCTTGCCGCCTCGGGGTCTTTGCACTAATACCTCCTCCACTTTGCCTCATTAACTCCTAGGAAAGGATGCCAACTGCTAAGTGTGGAGAGGAGCTCTATTTTGCCTCTGGGGACCAAGGTGGGAGTTGCAGCCACACCAAAAAGGTTTGAAATGTTTTCCCAATGGGTCTTGGGAAGTCCCAAGGAGAAAGGCTGAACGTGTGTTATTTATGAGGGCCATAAAGACTTTAATTTACATTGAAATGACAAAGCAGCCAGATTGCACTTCTTAAAATATAAATCCAATCATGTCACTGCCCTGCTTAAAACAGCCAATCTATTCACCTGCATCTTTCAGCCTTGCTCATCCTCTGGCCATGCTGACTTACTGTCAGTTTCTATGGTTCTTTCTAAATTCTTCCCAGCTGCTGGATCATTGAATAAGCGTTGCTTTTTCCAAAGCTGACTCTTCATCATGTAGGTCTGTTTGTCATCTCCTCAGTGAGACTCTCTTTAGCTACATTATCTAAAAGTGCTTCACTCGATCAGATGCCTGCCCCATGACAATTACTCTCTACCTAATTACTGTTCATTTTCAACAGAGCACTAACACAGTTTTAATTATTTCATTTGTTTATTCTCTTAATTGTATTTGTCTATTTCCTAAATTAGAGTTAGGAACTATCTTCTATAAACTGAATTGTCAAACTTGACAAATAATAGATGTTCAATGTGTATCTGTCGAAGGAATGAAAGGAAAGAAAATGATATTGAAAAAAATTAGTAGATTCTTTTTTTTTTAATTTTTTTAGCAGTTGTGGTTTTTTTTTTCTTTTTAGATTTTATTTATTTATTTGAGAGAGAGTGAGAGAGCACAAGCCAGGGGGAGAGGGAGAGTGAGAAGCAGGCTCCCCGCTTTAGGGAGCCCAACTCAGGACTCAATCCCAGGACCCTGGGATCATCGCCTGAACTGAAGGCAGACGTTTAACCAACTGAGCCACGCCAGGCACCCCTAGTAGATTCTTCTCTGTGGCCCACACCCATAGGAGAAGTGTTCTTCAAATGAGGCTTGAAGAGGCCATTAACTCAGGGCAGAGGAAGAAGCTCTGGGAAATTAGGAACAAAGGCTTCAGCAGTGTTCACTTCAGCAGCACATATACAGAAATTATAACAATACAGAGATTAGCATGGCCCCTGTCCAAGGAAAACATGCAAATTAGTGAAATATTCCATATGTGTAACAACAACAAAAAAATCCCTTTAGGAATTTGAGGACCAGAACCACCTGCATAAACTCAGCGAAGTGCTCCAATGCAATAACAAAAGACCTTCCCAGGATCCTCTTGGGTTATGTTTCTTAACATGAAATTGTTCAGATGTTAGTAGCTGGGGTGCCTGGACAACTCAGTTGGTTAAGCATCTGCCTTGGTTCAAGTCATGATCTCAAGGTCCTGGGATCCCCACATCAGGCTCTCTGCTCAGTGGGGAGGCTGCTTCTCCCTTTCACTCTCCCTCTGTGCTCTCTCTGAAATAAATAAATGGAATCTTCAAAAAAAAAAAAAATGTTGGGGCACCTGGGTGGCTCAGTGGGTTAAGCCTCTGCCTTCAGCTCAGGTCATGATCTCAGGGTCTGGGATGCAGCCCCGCATCGGGCTCTCTGCTCAGCAGGGAGCCTGCTTCCCCCTTCTCTCTCTGCCTGCTTCTCTGCCTACTTGTGATCTCTCTGTCAAATAAATAAAATCTTTTTAAAAAAATGTTAATGGCTGTTGTAGCGCATAGAGGACTTGTTCTCCCATAACCATAATAATGCCAAGAATCCCACACTCAATAGCCCCACATAAATACAACATGTTTCTTCACTTATTCAGTCTGCATGTATTGAAACCCAGGCTTGAGCTGGGTGCCAAAGATACAGGCAAAATGAGATGTGGGCCCTGCTCTCAAGGATCTCACAGCCTGGTAAAGAAATCCATGCAATTTGTAAGTTTAAGTTCTTTTTGTCTGTTTCGAGTACAGGCGTGGACACTGTTGCCAATACAAAGAGAAATATATTACAAAGATATTAGAGGCCTAGAGCATGGACCTGAAGGCATGCTTGCAAAAAAAAAAAAAAAAAAAAAAAAAAAAAACACAGAAAAGCAGCTTCACCAAGAAGCAACTGCTGCTGCCAACAGCACCACACACCACAGCTGGAGTTCAATCCTAACATCCTTTTGTCTTTGAGTCACTCACTTAAGAAGCAAAAATCTTGGCCCAGAGTCACTGTTGATTGGTCCACCTCAGGTCACATGGCTCAATCCCACTGCCAGGGAAAGAAGAGAGGAGCAATTTGCCCCTAAGGATATTCCCCTGAATTGGGAAAGCCGGGAGAGCTGATGCTGGCCAGGCAAAAATAACTCGATACAGATATGAAAAAAGTATCTTGGGAATTAAGCTCTTTCTGATTCCTGCAGAAATCTGACTTGCCAGCTTCTTCTAAACTAGCCCTTCACTGGCTGCAAGTCACAGAACTCCAGTTTGCAAAATTCTGATCTAAAACCCCAGTCCTTTTTTTTTTTAAAGATTTTATTTATTTATTTATTGGACAGAGAGATCACAAATAGGCAGAGAGGCAGGCAGAGAGAAGAGGAGGCAGGCTCCCTGCTGAGCAGAGAGCCTGATGCGGGCCTCTATTCCAGGACCCTGGGATCATGACCTGAACCGAAGGCACAGGCTTTAACCCACTGAGCCACCCAGGTGCCCCTAAAACCCCAGTCTTACCCATGCCTCTTTAGCAGCATCCATCTTTCGACCATAAGATCCTCCCCAGCATCTCACTAGTAGTTGGTCTCACCTTCCCAATTATGTCTTAGGTAGAGCCTTTCTTTGTACGAGATAGGTATTCAACAAATAGTTGCAATTAATGAATGAGTGAAATAATAAATGTAAAGCAGCCTCAGTTCCAGGGTAGAATATCTCCTGATTATCCAACCAGTTTAGAACTCTCGTCCCAGCCTATAAAATGACAGTTCCACAGGGAAACCCTGCATGCACACAAGGTTTATAGTAGAACGAGAAGAAAGCAGTACCTGCATGGAAAGTCCTTTCATTACCTAAATATCACTTTTCTCCTTAAACTGTCACATTTTAAGTTAAATAGCATCTGAGAAAATTTATTATAAACTGCAAAGTTCTGTATAAATGATTTTCTGATTACTTTCTTAATACATTTGTCATCATCTAGAGTATTTAAAATGTCCCTGGCTAAAGGAGAACTAAAGGCCTAACATGAGACAGGATATTCAATTAGAAAACTGATCTTCCTCAGCTTCTAGCCAGCAAACCTTTACACTCTGTCCTTATGCAACCCCAGGGTATTTACAATGAGTCTGTCTAGGGAAAAGGGGAAAACTAAAATAGAAAAACAAGCCCTTCAGCTGTGACTCACACTCACAGACCCTATATACTCAGAGGATCACCAATTTGAGGCTGTCAATCTTCAAAATAGGAACTGGGGTACGATATCTGCAGCACTCTGCTGAGTGTGAGAACTCAGGAAGCCGGAAACCACAGTCACAACAGCATCTGAGAGGTCGAAGAACCTTCACAAGGCGCCGGGGGCCTAAGGGAAGAAAGTTGAGTCTTGGGCTTGGCCTGATGTCTTCCAGTCTGGACCTGATGGAAGTTTCTTGAGCTCCCCAAGCCTTAGTGCTCTCCAAGAGAGGGGGAGGAGAATTAAGTAGGAATTCTAATATATTTCCAGCATTTTGCAAGATTATAAGAGGGAGAGAAGAGGAAAAGGAGAGGAGAACATTTTTTATTCTTGTCCTAGATACTAAAAAGAATAATAAGGTGCACCTGGGTGGCTCAGTTGTTTAAGCATACAACTCTTAATTTCAGCAAAGGTCTTGATCTCAGGGTTGTGGGTTCAAGCCCTGTGCTGGGCTCCAATACTGGGCATGGAGCCTACTTAAAAAAAAAAAAAAAGAAAGAAAGAAAGAGGGGCATCTGGGTGGCTCAGTGGGTTAAAGCCTCTGCCTTCAGCCCAAGTCACGATCCCAGCGTCCTGGGATCAAGCTCCGCATCGGGCTCTCTGCTCGGCGGGGAGCTTGCTTCCTCCTCTCTCTCTGCCTGCCTCTCTGCCTGCTTGTGATCTCTGTCTGCCATATAAATAAATAAAATCTTAAAAAAAAAAAAAAAAAAGAAAAAGAGAAAAAAAAAGAAAGAAAAGAAAATATCTTTAAAAAGAGTAATAAAATCCACCTGGACCACTTCAAGGAACCAAGTCCTATTCTACTTTGTCCTTTGAGATGCCCAATCCCTAGCACCATTCTCTATAATTTAAACACACTTAATACATATTTCTTGTAGGTTGAAATGCATGCCAATCCAGAGATAAAGAGAAAGGGGGAAGGAGTTTAGCCCTAGAGACTAAAGGAATGGAGGTTAAAGAAGTTAATTAAATGAACAGTCTCTAAACGTGCTGGTACTCCACTCCTCAAATGTCTTATAATTTAATTTTATATAGTTAATGCTGGGGCACCTGGATGGTTCAGTGGGTTAAAGCCTCTGCCTTCAGCTCAGGTCATGATCTCAGGGTCCTGGGATCAAGCCCCGCATCGGGCTCTCTGCTCAGCGGGGAGCCTGCTTCCCCCCCCCCACCGCCCTGCCTGCCTCTCTCCCTACTTGTGATCTCTGTCTGTCAAATAAATAAACAAAATCTTAAAAAATATATATATAGTTAATGCAATGCCATATGGTTCAAATCCCAGAAACTATATAAAAGGTATACAATGCAGTCTCCCTCAAATTCTTGTCCCTCATTGGTCCTGTTTCCACTGGTTAACTACCACTCTTACTTTCTTAAGAATCTTCTCAAGATTTCTCCATACGTATATAAGCAAATTCAAATATAAGTTCAAAAAAATACATATAAGCTCAAATATATTCTGACTCTTTTAGACAAAAGGAAGCATTTAAATTTTTGTAAGTTTTTGTTTTTTTTTTAAGTAACTTCTACACCCAATGTGACAGAGCTCAAACTCACAAACCTGAGACCAAGTATCATATGCTCTGAGTGAGCCAGCCAGGTGCACCCAAAAGGAAGCATTTATATAGTTGTCCTCCACCTTACTTTTTTCACCAAACAACATATTTGGACACCCTAGAATACATTTTGTACAATGGCAGAAAAATAACTTCCTCATTATCTTGTTTTATATTATTGCTCCACAGTGTTTCTTGTGTGGATATACTATAATTTGCTTAATCAGTTCCTTATCAAAGGACATTTAGGTTGTTTCCAATCTTTTGCAAGTTAAAAACAATGTCCCATTTACAAATAGTAAAGCACATGTGTGCAGACAGAACTATAGTCTACATTCTCAGAAATGGGGGCATCTGGGTGGCTCAGTTGTTAAGCATCTGCCTTCAGCTCAGGTCATGATCCCAGGGTCCTGGGATGGAGCCCTGGATCGGGCTCCCTGCTCTGCGGGAAGCCTTCTTCTCCCTCTCCCACTCCCCCTGCTTGTGTTCCTCTCTCTCTGTCTGTCTCTGTCAAATAAATAATTAAAATCTTAAAAAAAAAAATTGGGGCACCTGGGTGGTTCAGTGGGGTAAAGCCTCTGCCTTCAGCTCAGGTCATGATCTCAGGGTCCTGGGATCGAGCCCCGCATCTGGCTCTCTGCTCAGCAGGAGAATAAATAAAATATAATAAAACAAAAATAAAAAATAAATTAAAATAAAAAATAAAATAAAATCTTCCAAAAAAATGCAGACTCTCAAAAAAAAATAATAAATAAATTCTCAGAAATGGAAGCTCTGAGCCACAGGAGTACATGCAATGTTAGAGACTGCAATTTGCCTTCGATGGATTCCCCAGAGATATAACTCTACAGCTGCAAAATATGTCACAAGTAATCTGTTACTTGTAATAATTAAAATCCAGCAATTTATTTATAGTTTAAGAAATAGAAGCAGTTTCAAGATTATTCCCATTATGTTATTCTCTTTTTTTTAAGATTTTATTTATTTATTTGACAGAGAGAGAGGTCACAAGGAGGCAGAGAGGCAGGCAGAGAGAGAGTCTCCCTGCGGAGCAGAGAGCCCGATGCGGGGCTCGATCCCAGGACCCTGAGATCATGACCTGAGCCAAAGGCAGAGGCTTAACCCACTGAGCCACCCAGATGCCCCCCCCATTATGTTATTCTTATTTACTTTCATTCTTGATAAGGAAAGAAATGAGTAATGTTGCAGTTTCT